GGAAGTGTGAGTGGTACTGTTGTCCCAGGTCACAGTTGTAAAATCGCTCTCCTCCCCAATTCCACCCTGCTAAGGAAGATTCTGTTCATTAGGCACAAAACAGAGGAGGCTGGGTGGGATTGGGGACTGCCTGACCTCACCGGGGGACACTTCCTGGAGAGCAATCTCTCTGTCTCTTCCATTCCCTCACTGGTGGGCCTTGAGTCACTAGGGTCTGCCAGGACACTTCACCAAGGAGAAAGCTCCCTTCCTCTTCCACCCCCTCACCAGTGGAGCTTGAGCCACCCAAGTCCACCAGATAACTCAGCTGAATGAGTAATCTATCTCACTTTTCTGCCCCTTCAAAAGCGAAGCATAAGCCACCAGTGTGTATAGACCTCCCAGCCAAGGAGACCCTGCACTGTGCACTGGAGAGTTCAAATTGCTTTCTGCTCCTGTATCCTCTCTGAACTTCCTGACCACCCATGTTACCTCTTTGCACTGACTTCAGGCACTTCACTGCCTGCGTGGGCATGGAGGTCAGTGAAGGAGAAGGTGTCCCCCTGTGGCATGGATTACAGAGTCCTGGCTGGCTGGCCGCTGAGTGCAGCCGGCTTGTGTTCTAATCTCCGCTGTACAACTTGGACTCTTGGAACTTTGGTCAGTGAAGGAGAAGGCATCTCCCTGTGGGATGGATCACACAGTCCCAGCCGGCTGGCTGATGAGCTTAGCCGGCTTGCACTTCAATCCCCGCTGTACAACTCAGACTCTTGGAACTTTGCGGCAAATCCACTGAGTTACTTTCCTCCTTTTCCCAGCACTGTTGACCCTCGAAGCTTCCTTGCAATTCTGTGAAGCCGATCCTGTGGGAATACTACCCACTAGAGTGATTTAGACCATTTTCTTCACCTCCCACTCTGAGAGCAGAGAGCCAGGAGGTCATCCCTAATCTGCCATTTTTGACAACGCCAGTATGGAGATTCTTAAAAAAATAGAGCTACCATATGATCCAAAAACCCCACTATTGGGTATATATCCAAAGGAAATGATATCAGTATGTCAAAAAGATATCTGCACTCCCATTGTGATGGTTCAGTTTAGGTGTCAACTTGACGGGATTGAGAGATATTTCTATGATTGGTGAATAATTGTTTCTGGGGGTGTCTGTCAAGGAATTTCCAGGGGAGACTGGTATGTGAGACAACAGACTGAAAAAGTAAGATCTGACTTCACTGTGGGTGGGCATTGTCCATTTGGCTGGGAGCCTAACTGGGACAAACAGGCAGAAAAGGGGGGATTCTCTCTCTCTCCCTTTCAGAGAACGATGTATTTTCTCCTCCTGCCCTAGGACATTAGACTCTAGGTTCTTCTGCTTTTGGACTCTGGGACTTGTACCAGAAGCCTCCCGTGGGCTCTCAGGCCTTTGGCCTATGACTCAGATTTGCACTGTAAGCTTCCCTGGTTCTGAGGCTTCCAGAGTTGGACTGAGCCATGCTACTAGCTTCTCTGGTTCTCCAGCTTGCAGATAGCCTATTGTGGGACTTCTCCACCTCTGTGATTATCTGAGTGAATTCTCCCGATAAATCCCCTCTCATATATCCTATTGGTTCTGTCTCTCTGGACAACCCTGATTAATAAACTCATGTTAATGCAGCAGTATTCACAATAGCTAAGATATAAAATCAACCTGTGCTCATCAACAGATGAGTGGATAAAAAATGTAATATATATATATATATATATATATATATATATATATATATATATATACACACACACACACAGTGGAATACTATTAAGCCAAAAAAAGAATGAAATCCTGTCATTTGCAACAGCATAGATAAAGCTAGAGGATATTATGTTAAGTGAAGTACGTCAAGCACAGAAGGACAAATATCACATAATATTACTCACATGTGGAATCTAAAAAAGTTGATCTCATAGAAGTAGATAATAGAATAGTAGTTACTAGAGGATGAAGAGAGTAGGGGGCAGGGGGAGATAGGGAGACATTGATCACAAGGCACAAAGTTATAGTTAGATAGGAGAAATAAGTTCTGGTGATCTACTGCACAGCAGGGTGCCTAGACTCAACAATAATATACTGTATACTTCAAAATACCTAGAAGAGAAGATTGTGAATATTCTTATTACAAAGAAATGACAAGTGTTTGAGATGATAGATGTGCTAATTACCCCAATCTGATCATTATACAATGTATATATGCAGCAAAACATCACACCATATACCATAAATATGTAATTATTATATGTCAATTAAAAACAAACTTAAACATGAAAATTGCAAAGAAAATATATTTTTGTGTTCTCACCACAAAAATGATAAGTATGTGAGGTAATATATATGTTAATTAGCTCAATTTAACCAAACACAATGTATGTGTATTTCAAAATAATATGTTATACATGATAAATATATATAATTTTAATTTATCAATTAAAAAATAAAGTCATTGGCTCAGAAAAAGATATATGAATGGCCAATAAATACATAAAAAGGTCCTCAACATCATTAGTTATCAAAAAGATCAAATTAAAGGAGAAACTCACCATAATGGCCAAAATTAATAAGACTGGCAACACCAAGTATTGACAAAGATTTGGAGCAGCTACAATTCACACATTGTTCATGACAGTGTAAAATGGTACATCTATTTTGATAAAACTTGTTGCAGTTATTATAATACTTATTATAATACTTATGAAACTAAACACTCACTTAATCTATGACTTAGCAATTCTCCTCCTAGAATTTACCTTTAGGATTTTGTAGAAATGAAAACATATTCACAAAAACACTTTTACATGAACATTCATAGCAGCTTTATTCATAAAACCCCAAACTGGAAACAGCCCAGGTATCTATTCATGAAAGAAATGGATTTATTCCAGAACAAGCAAAAATAATCTATGGTAATAAAAAAATCAAACTGTGGCTTCCTCTGCGATGTGTGTATAGGACTATGAGGGTATTTCCTGTGGTGATAGTAGTATTTTATATTTTGATAGGGGTTTGGGTTACACAGATATATGCATGTGTTAAAACTCAGTAACTGTATATTTAATATTTTTAAAATAATTATATATAGTATATACATGTATCAAAACATCATGCTTAGTTTTAACTTAAAACAAAAAAGGCTGTAAATAAATATTGAATTCTACTTAATGATATAAATGTTGAAGTATTTTAGGGAGACATACTGATATCTGTAATGGACTTTAAAATACATCAAAAATAAGATTAACCAATGAATGGACAGATGGAGAGACATTGGTAATAAAGCAAATATACTAATAGTAATATCTTAATGGTAGAATCTAAGTGGTAGTCTATGGGTGCTTCCTTTCAAATGCTTTCAATTTTTATATATGTTTAAAAATGTTCATAATAAAATGCTGGAAAAATATTGAGTATCTAATCATCATTTTTTGGCAATGGGTAGATAAGATATGACTGAGGGAAAGTTTCCCAGAAGAACTTATCCAAATGAAGTAACTTAGTATTTACATAGTTCCTACTACAAGCCAGGGGCAAAAGCAGGAGAACAGTTTATTTTTATCTTTACAGTAACTGAGTACAGTAGATATTATAACTGGAATATCATGATCAGCAGGCTAAGTGACTTATCCAAAATCAAAAAACAATAAACAGCAGTCAGGATTTTATACTGAACTCCTTCTAATTATAATGTCTGTACTATTTCTAATATGTCAAATTTTACAGCTACCTCCACCCCGACTTTGTACTTCTTCCTTTCCTGCTTTATTACTTTTCCCTAGTAAGAATCACCATTTGATAAATTATATATTTGCTTAATTTTCAATTAACTATCTCCTCCTACTAGAATGAGAATTCCATGAGTGCCAGGAATTTTGTCTTATTTGTTCACAGTTGCATTGCTAGTGTCGAGAATAGTGTCTGTAGATGTTCAAGAAATATTTGCTAAGTAAATTGAATTGATGCACAGTAGAAGTTAGCTTGGAATAATTGGAATAGGAAAGGTAATCCATATGAAAAACAGCATAAGGAAAAGATTGACTGAAAGATGGAAAATAATTGGCTCCAGAAACCTAAAGTAATTTGGTACATCTGGACAGAATGTGTGGGGGAAAAATAGATTGCTTGGAATCATGCTAGAAGAGTAAGAATGAATCAGATCATACAGAACCTTGTAAGTCATGAAAAGCACTGAGGAGACTTAGAAGGATCTTAACAGGAGAGCAACAAGATAAAACTTGTAGTTTAGAAAGATGCTCTAGCTGCACATGGAAAATGAATAAAAGGGGAAACAAGGACATGGAAACAAGGACACCAATTAAGTGTTTAGCAATGGTACTGAAGAGAGCAGTCTCACTGAAAGAAGTGGCACTGCAGATAGAAATCAGGGGATGGTTTGAGAAAAATTTAGGAGGTACAGTTGATAAGATTGGTTGTGGAGTGTGAGGGAGAGGGAAAACTGAAAAATGACTTTTGGTTTATGGCTTGGGAAACTTGATGGAAGGTGGTGCCATTCAGTGAAATTAGGGAAACAAGTGGAAGAGTAGGCTTAAAATGAGTGGAGACAATGAGTTCCGTTTTGAATACAGTGTTTTATGATTCTACCAGATATCTAAGTCGTGTTATCCAGTAGGCACTGGTCAGGAGCTTTGCATAAATCTGAGCTAGAGACATAAATGTTGTTGTTATCATGTCTTTGGGTACCCTAGCTGTTTGTTCACTGAGGATAATTTAATAACTGTTTTTCATTTTAATAGCATTTTCATTTAAATAATATTACCTTTAATATCTGCCCCTCCAAAAAATATAGTATTCTTTGGCTGTTGGCCTATTATTCCATGAGGATTATAATAAGAATATAAATCATTCTATAATAGAAAGCTATACAGTAGCAAGATTAAAATGTGGGCAGATATAAGGATCTTAGAGATTTTCATGACATTAGAAGGCTAATATTTGGTAAATACATTACAATGGAGGATAATTCTTTGGTACTCACCTGATCAAATACAGCTCTTTATTCCATGGGTAGATATTTAAGATTGGCCCAATCCCAATCATGTGGTTGTGACATTCTCCAACATTTTCAATATATTCATGCTTCAAAGGCACTTTGCTAAGGAGTTCAAATTCCTCAGATGCCTTTTGAAGTACCTGTTCTGCTGCATAGAAACCATTTACTAGCAGTGTCCTGCCTCTTGTTCCTTCATGCTTAAGACAGTGAAACACCTTAATGCTAAGGAGGGAAAAGAAAATTATGTTCAGTGGAGAAATTCTAGAAAATTACATATAAAATGATTACTGAATCTACTTGTGTCATTTTCTTTGCATGATGAAATAAATCTGATTTCCTAATTGTTTTTCCCTCATATCCAGTTGTACTTTTTTTTGTTTGTTTTGAAATATTAATGCCACTAAAGAAAGGCTTCTTCTAAACATATCGAATACATATTGAAGCCTGTATATGATGGGCCCTGGAAATACAGGCATGAATAAGATACAGTCTCTGTTTTAAATAAGCTTATAGTCTAGTAAGAAGAGATGAAGCAAATAAGTACTAATAAAATATGATAGGTACTATAATAAAGTTGTATACAAGATATAGTGGTGCTGCAAAGAAAGGAATGATCTGTTCTAGCGGGGTATTATATAAAGAAATGTTTTGGAGAATGGATATGGCTTTGTTAGTCTTAAAGAATGAGCAGGAATTATACTGGAATGAGATTGAGGTGAGGAGAAGGCATTCCAGGCAGAGAAAAAGCATAACAAAAGATACCGATGTGAAACAACAAGGTATATTTAAGGAAGAGAATAAGAAGTTCCTATAGGCATAGCATGGACAACCACAAAATGAATTTAAACTGCGAAACTCTATGGTCATATTAACATTTTAAAGAGTTGATTATGGTGCTAATGTGGAAGGTGGACTGGTGGGAAGTGAGACCAAAAAAAAAAACAAAAAAACAAAAAAAAAAAACCATGAAGTCCTACTCAGCCACAAAAAGCAATGGTGATCTAGCACCTGTTGTATTATCCTGGATAGAGCTAGAGCCCATTTTACTAACTGAAGTATCCCAAGAATGGAAAAACGAGCACCACATGTACTCACTGTCAAATTGGTATTAACTGATTAACACTTATGTGCACACATAGGGTGTTGGGCAGGTGGGAGGGGGGAGGAAGGGATTGATATGTTCACACCTGATAGGCGAGGTGCGCACCGTGTGGGGGCTGGACATACTTGAAACTCTGACTGGTTGGGGCAAATGCAATATATGTAACCTAAACATTTGTACCCCCGTAATATGCTGAAATAAAAAAAAAAATGAAAAAAAAAACTTGGAAAACAACTTGAATAATTGAAATAGTAAAAAAATAAAAAATAAAAACATGTAGAGGGCTTGAGCTTAGAGAAGAGCATGGTAGAAAAGAAAACACACCTGAGAGATACTAAGGAGGTAGCACTGGTAGGATTTTATAACTTATTAAATATAAAGGATGAAGGACAGGCAAGAATTTAGAATGACTACAGGTTTCTCACTTGGGCAACCTGAAAGATGATAATGCTGTTTACTAAGACAGAGAATGCAAGCATATGTTCAATTGTATGATAATGAAGGAGTATCAGGGGATTAGGAAGAAGTTTGGGTTAAGGGCATTTGAAATAGGTGAATCATATGTATCTGTATAGGTTAACAGGGAAAGGGAAGGTGACTATTAATGGACTGGAAAACTACAGTAGAATATTCAAATTAATGAGAGGAAATAAAATCAATAGTAATTTAATCAAATAAGCAAAAACAAGGAAAGTAAACCACAAATTACAATAAACATAAAGAAAGATGGAAAAAATGAAAGGAATAAAATCAAAGATAATCCAATAAATACAATTAAAATAAGAAAGGTCAGTTCTGGCCATGTTGAAATTTCTGTGAAACTTCTAGGTCAGGATTATTTAGTAGTTAGTTAAAGTTGTTTAACTCAGAAGAGATGTAGATTTCACGATTTATGGGTGATAGCTAAAGCCAAAAGCATGGAAGAAGTCATTTGGAGAGATCATTTTAAGTAAGAAAACAGGGAAAAGGGAAAAACCTTGAGGAACAGTAATATTTAGGACATGGACAGGGGAAAATTATCCAGTGAAGGAGGTTGAGAAAAATAGTCAAAGATATAGGAGAAAAATTAGGAAAGAAGGGATATTTAAGAAAAGGTAGTGGTTAATTACATGCCCCAGGGGTCAAGTAAGATGAAGGTACACACTGGATATGGCAATAAGTTAGTTGCTGGTGATGTTGGAGAGAATAATTTTAATTTGGGCAGGGCAGGGTTGGAAACATTAGCTGCCTATCGGTTTGAGGAGTGAATGGGAAGTGAGAATGGAAAGATAGTGAATGTAGATAATTATTTTAATAAGATTAGCCATGAAGGGGAGGAGAAAGACATGGATGTAGCTGGAGGGAGATAGAGTTCAAGGAAGTATAAAAGTAGAGAATTAAGATATGAGAAGTTGATATGAAGGAGTCACTAGGTATGGAAAGGCTGAAGATAGAGGAGACAGAAATCCACAAGGAGGCTGGAAAGGATGAGATCCAGAACAAAGATAGCTTTAGACAGAGCAAGGCATATAGCAATGCAGATGATGAGGATGATCATGACAATGAATAAAATGATAACTATAATATCTAATATCTGTTGAACATTTAATATGTGTCAAGCAGTATGTCAAGTGCTTTAAACATATCATGTAATTTAATCCTTAGCAACACCAATGAATAGGTTTTATTACTAGTCCCATTTTACAGATGAAGAACCTGAGGCACAGAGAAGTTAAATTATTTGTCTAAGATCACAAATTTAGTACATGTTCAGGCTGGGATACAAATCTAGGTCTGGCTGATGCCATAGCTGGAACTCTTATCCACTATTACTATACTGCTAATCTACTTGGTCCTTGCTATTGATTAGAAAGGGTTAAATTAAAGGCACAGACAATTGTTTATCTCTGGTGTTGGTCATGAAGGGAAGAGCTAATCAGTATTTGAACCTCAATCTCTGTCCAGCTGCCTCTCATCTCATTTGCTTTTTCTTCCTTTTGCATCCCCTAGAGTGAGGATGGAGGGATACTGATCTCATATATTGATAACATGGAGCAGGATTTCTAAAAGCTGCTTTGTTCTTCCTCCATTGAACCAAACAATTCTTAAATTCTAAACTCTTAAAGTAAATCAATGTAACCATAATCAATTGCATATTATCATCTTCTCATACAGTCTTCATAAATCTGTATGTGCACTTACTTTACTAATATCTTTGTGTCTCAGGATCATCATGCATATGTAGAAGCAAGATCAACAACAAAGAAATAATCACGGAGGTGCCTCTAATAAGGAGCAAATATTAATAATAGGAAAGTTAAGTATGGTATAGATCATCTTTGGCTCAAGAGCTTCTGATTCCATGTGAAAAAGATTATTTTTTAGTCATTTCTCCTCTCTAACTTCTTAAAAATCGGATTCAAATTCCTCTTAGTATTATACACAAAGTATCTGTGTTTGCATGACGACCCCTTTGCAACATGTTAATAACTACATACAAGAAACTGTACACATTCCAAAACTAATGATTAGTGAAAACATTTTTGGGGGGTAATTTATAATTACTTTGAGAAAAAATATAAATTTAACAAAATTAAGACTCCATTTATGTAGTAAGGAGGGTTTTCAATCACTTAAAGTTTTTTTCATTGTTAGCAAAGTTTATTGAAGGGTGCTATGGTTCATTCTTTTTTTTTTTATTTTGGCATACTATGGGGGTACAGATGTTAAGGTTTCAATAAATGCCCATTTCCCCCCCTCCCCCCAAAAGTCTGAGTCTCCAACAACAACAACAACAAAACACCATACACTCCAAATAAGAGGGAGGGGAGCAGTAGTGAAGATAAAATTTGTTAAGTCTCACCTTTACTCTGCTAGGTGACCTTTGAGTTAGATTTTTATCACTACATTTTACATATGAATCAGATCTCAGAGAAATATTGGTCAGCTCATTAAAAATTTTTTATTCCCACAAGTCTAAAGAAACTGAACTAGGGTATTTCAAAATGATCATGTTTCTAGGGGAAGAGAAGGGAACAGTCATACAAATTTGCAGCAGCAGATATGATAATGGTTTAAATACAATGAAAAGTGATTAAGAAACTACTCAAGACTATCACACATAAAGACCCTACTCTGTAAAGTCTAATCCATCTACCCACAAGGCTCTTGAAAATAAGTAATGTCAGTGTGCTGATCCAGAGCTACTTTGGTGTATGCCGTGTCACCTCTGGAGAAGTCTGAAGTGAAATACCACATCCTCCCATGGATAGTTTCTCTGCCAAATGAAATAAAGACTTATTACAGTCAATTCAAGGATCACTGGGTTAGAAAAATATACCAATGACTTTGAAGGCATCATTATATTTATCAAATAAGTGTCTTTAGAGATTAGAAGTCTAGGCCTTAAATAAAGCACTCCATGTGGGAGTCCCCTTCCTTATTCAGGCCACAAATATTCTGCATTGAAAACAACGGTGACCATACCTGTTACATTTATTTATTGGTGTTTATGCTTTAGATATTATAGTACTGTCAATTTCAGGAAACTAATGAGTTACCTGATCAAGCTGATCCTTTTTGCCAACTTCTCTGTATGGTCTCGAGTGGGAGGGATATTTTCTACAAATGCAATTCCATAAAGCAGAAAGTTTTGCAGTAACTTCTTGAATCCCTTGTTGGTTTCTAAGAAGCCCTGAAAATCCACAGATGGAACTTGAGCTTCCCGGTAGATTTCAGCATTCCATAATATTCTAGGCCGGATGACATTTTGTTTCTGCCCTTCATAGCTGTTTTTCACCAGCCAATCCAAATTATATCTAGTCACATGACCATCTAGCCCTTTTAAGGGGAAAAATAAAAGACATTAAAATAATAATTAGGCCAGGTGTGGTGGCTCACGCCTGTAATCATAGCACTCTGGGAGGCTGCGGTGGGAGGATCGCTCAAGGTCAGGAGTTCGAAACCAGCCTGAGCAAGAGCGAGATCCTGTCTTTACTATGAATAGAAAGAAATTAATTGGCCAACTAAAAATATATAGAAAAATTATCTGGGCATGGTGGCACATGCCCGCAGTCCCACCTACTTGGGAGGCTGAGGCAGAAGGATTACTTGAGCCCAGGAGTTCGAGGTTGCTGTGAGCTAGGCTGATGCCATGGCACTCTAGCCTGGGCAATAGAGTGAGATTCTGCCTCAAAAAAATATAATAATAATTAAATATATTGCCAATAATTTATGACTAGGACCTCAAAAGCAAATGTAACAAAACCAAAAATAAACAAATGGAACTTAATTAAACTATAAAGCTTGTGCACAGCAAAATAAATAATCAACACAGTAAATAGACAACTTACAGATTGGGAGAAAATATTCACAGACTATGTATCTGACAAAGCACTAATATCCAGAATTTATAAGGAACTCAAACAACTTAGCAAGAAAAAACCAAATAACCTCATTTAAAAAGTGGGCACAAATGTTGGTGTGGATGCGGAGAGATAGGAACACTCCTACACTGCGCTGGTGGGACTGCAACCTCTGTGGAAAGCAATATGGAGATACCTCAAAGAGATACAAGTAGATCTACTATTTGATCCAGGAATCCTATTACTGGGCATCTATGCAAAAAACAAAAGACACTGTATAAAAAAGACACCTACACTCGAATGTTTATAGTAGCACAATTCACAATTGCAAATATGTGGAAACAACCTAAGTGCCCATCAATGCATGAGTGGATTAATAAAATGTGGTATATGTATACCATGTAGTACTATTCAGCTAGAAGAAACAATGGTGATATAGCACCTCTGGTATTTTCCTGGATAGAGCTAGAACCCATTCTACTAAGGGAAGTATCCCAAGAATGGAAAAATAACCACCATATGTACTCACCAGCAAATTGGTTTTAATGGATCAACATCTAAGTGCACATATGGGAATAACATTCATTGGGCATTGGGTAGATGGAATGGGAGAGGAGGGGATGGGTATATACACACATTGTGAGTGCAATGAGCATCATCTGGGAATGGACACGCTTGAAGGTCTGACTCAGGGGGCAGGGGAGCAAGGACAATATACGTAACCTAAACATTTGTACCCCCATAATAAGCTGAAATAAAAATGTGTGCAAAAGACATGAACAGACATTTTTTCAAAAGAAGAGATAAAAATGGCCAAGAAGCATAGAAAAAAAAATGCTCAACATCACTAACCATCAGGGAAATAAATTTATAGCAGCACAGTTTAATTTACATAAAATGTAAATTAAAAACACAATGAGAAACTTCCTTAACCCTGTCAGAATGGCCATAATTAAAAAGTTAAAAAACTATAGAAGTTGGCACTGATGCAGTGAAAAGGGACTGCTCATACACTGTTGGTGGGAATGGAAATTAGTACAACCTCTATGGGAAACAGTATGCAGATTCCTGAAAGAACTAAAAGTAGACCTACCATTCAATCTAGCAATCCCACTACTGGGTACATATCAAAAGGAAGAAATCCTGTCATAAAAACACCTGCACTTTTATTATTATTGCAGCACAATTCACAATTGCAAGGATATGGAATCAACCTAAGTGTCCATCATCTTATGAGTGGATAAAGCAAATGTGGTATATTATGAAGTACTACTCAACCACAAAAAAGAATGAAATAATGTTTTGCAGTAACTTACATGGATCCAAAGGTGATTATCCTAAGTGAAGTAACTTAGGAACAGAAAATCAAATACTGGATAGTCTCATTTCTAATTGGGAACTAAACTATGGTTATATACCAAGTGGAATAATAGACATTGGAGACTCAAAAGGTGGGAGGGGGTGAGGGATGAAAAATAACCACTCAGGTACTATGTACAATATTTGGGTGAAGGATACACTAAAAGCCCTGACTTCATCACTATAAAATATATCCATGTAACAAAACTGTACTTGTAACCCCTAAATATATTGAAATTAAAAAGATAAGCTTACAGAATTATAGCTACATAGTAAAGGAACTTCTGGAACATTCATCAGGTCATCATAGAATGATAATCCCAGATTTTTTTTTTTTACTTCGGCATCTTATGGGGGTACAGATTTTAAGGTTTTAATAAATGCCCTTTGCACCCTCCCCTCACAAGTCTGAGTTTTCAGCATGACCATCCCCCAGATGGTGCACATCTCACTCATTATGTATGTATATACCCGCCCTACTCCCCTCTCCCCCCTGCCCAACGCACTATTACTGTAGTACCTATGTGTCCACTTAGGTGCTACTCAGTTAATACCAGTTTGCTGGTGAATATATGTGGTGCTTTTTTTTCATTCTTGGAATACTTCACTTAGTAGTATGGCTTCCAGCTCTAACCAGGAAAATATAAGATGTGCTATATGACCGTTATTTCTTACAGCTAAAGAAGCTGTAAGCTCCATGGTATACATATACCACATTTTATTAATCCATTCTTGGATTGATGGGCACTTGGGCTGTTTCCACAGCCTTGCAACTATGAACTGTGCTGCTATAAACATTCGAGTGCAGGTGCCTTTTTTGTAGAGTGTCATTGGATTTTTTGGGTAGATGCCCAGCAATAAGATTGCTGGATCAAATGGTAGATTCACTTGTATAGCTTTAAGGTATCTCTATATTGCTTACCACAGAGGTTGAACTAGTTTGCAGTCCCACCAGCAGTGTAGGAGTGTTCCTCTCTCTCCGCATCCACGCCAGTATTTTTTATTTGGAGACTTTTTGATAAAGGCCATTCTCACTGGAGTTAAGTGATATCTCATAGTAGTTTTGATTTGCATTTCCCTGATGATTAGAGATGATGAGCATTTTTTCATATGTTTGTTGGCCATTCTTTTGTCTTCTTTAGAAAAGTTTCTGTTCA